AAACACATTCTACAATCACAGACAATGTCAAAAATCTTGTTCTGCCTCAGTTTTTTAGTTTACAAAATGGGAATAATAAAGTCTTGCCCCAATCATCTACTGAGAGCAGTGTGAATACACCAAAAGTACCAGGTACAGTGGTGCACACCTGTAATCTCAGCTGCTTGGGAGGATGAGACAGGAAGATCACAAGTTCAAGGCCAGTTTGGGCAATTTAGAGAGACCCTGTTTTAAAATAAAAATGGCTGAGGACGTAGCTTATGGCTCCTCGGGTTGAATACCCAGTACTTCAACAAAAACAACAAAGTACTTTGTTGGTGCTGATGCTAGATTAAGTCCATTTCCTGTTAGAAACTATAATGATTAAACCGAGCTGCTCTGGTCTAACAAAAACCTTAAATATAGGTTTCAATGTAAGGATAACTAACCACTTTCCTAGAACCATTGAGAGTTAGAACTGACTCACAATTGCTATAGACATGTGTAAGTAGAAGTGATCTCAGTTCCCTGTTGTAGATGTAGGCAAATATGAGAAAACATTCCATATCAAACCAGGAGCACCTCTCTCATGAACTTTAAATTAGGGACTATCTCCTGCTGTCACTTGCCTGAGTTCTCTTTCATAGGCAAATTTCTCATCGTCCTTTTTAATCTATGGATTTCACACTGGTAAGTTCAGCACAAGCTTGTCATCTTCTCAGAGAAGCCTTCCTTGACTTGCCTAACTAAAGTGTCACCCACTACTCTCATTTTCTTTATTTCCATTCTAATACTTATTCCAAAGGATAATTAACTATGTAAGCTGTCCACGATCTTCTCTGCATATCCACAGGTTCCACATCTGAAGATTCAACCATGGACTGAAAAAAAATTTTTTGAACTGTGCATGAGCTGGGCACAGTAGCACATGCCTGTAATGAGGCAAGAGGACTGCAATTTTGAGCCCAGCCTGGGCAATTTAGGGACTTAGAGAAATCATGTCTACAAACAAAAAAAAATGTTTATAAGGGCTGAGGATGTAGCTCAGTGTGAAAGCCCTGGGTTCAATCCCCAATAAAAAACAAACAAACAAACAAAAAAAAACAAAACAACACACACACACACAAAGTATGCCTGTATTGAGCACAGACTTTTTTCTTATTATTGTTCTCTAAACAATACAATTTACATAACTTTTCTTTTGTATCAGGCATTATAAGTAACCTAGAGACGATTTAAAGCGTGCAGGAGGATGTGCATGGGTTCCATGCAAACACCGTGCCATTTTATATGAGGGACTCAAGCATCCACAGATTTTAGTATCCTTGGGGGTACTAGAACCAGCCCCCTTTCGATACCGATGGATGACTGTATTTATTAACTATTTTCCTGTATTAGATATGAGGTCCAGGAGACTATTTGTCTCAATCCCACCATTCTGTATCCCTAGTATCTACAACAGTGTCTCAAAAAACTGTTGAATGAATCGTTGAAAGAGCTTTATCCTCACAAATGACAGTAAGGTTAATTCAAATGTCTTAGCATGACATTCAAGGCTACAACTTGACTGTTCAGGCTTTCATTCTGCCTTGTTATACCCCTGTATGTTTTTTTTTCCTCATTGAGTTTATTGGTACATTTCAGTTATAAGTACAGTTACATTAATTATTGAGATATTGTACCTTTACATGACAGGTCTTGGTTCTCATTTTTTCCCCTTGTCCCGGCCCTCCTCCCCTTACCCCTCCTCCCTCCCCCATTACAAACACTTCATTTCTATTTCTTCATTTTCTCATATTTTTTTCTTTTCCCTTATTAGCTTTCCCCTACCCTTCCCACTTTCCCTACACTTTTAGCCCCTTTCTTGCTATTTCACATTGTCCATTACATCATTACGATCTTATGTACTATTATAGTTTATTCACACCAGAGAAACTATTTGGTATTTACACATGTGTGACTTATATACCCCCGTATGTTATGCCTGTTTTTTATTTTGTTTTGTTTGCAGTACCAGGGATCAAACTCAGGACCTTGCCCTTGTGAGGCAGGCATGGCTCCACTGAGCTAAATCCCCAGCCCTGTTATGTCTGTTGCTCCCTCTGTAAAAGCTTGCTTTTTGTCTGGAATGCTTTTCCTACTAAACAATTAATCTTTCAAGGCCCTGCTCTAATACAACTTTTCTGTGAACTCTTCTCCCATCCTTCACATATACACAGATACATAACCATAGGATGATTCCTCTGCTAATTTATTGTAAGGACTGTACAATTTGTAATATAGGATCATTGCACTAATGCTAATAATAATAATGCAGTGGTACCTTGGTTCATGAACTTAATTATTTCTATGATTCTGATCACAGAATTCGTTCTGACCAGAGTTGTGGAACAAATTCTGTAACCAGAATTATTGAAAGAATTAAGCTCATGAACTGAGGTACCACTGTAATAATGATACCTAATATTTTTGGAGATAAGATCTCACTGTTGTCCAGACTAGCCTCAAACTTCTGGGCTCAAGTGATCCTTCTACCTCAGCCTCCCAAGTGCTGTGACAACAGGCAAACCACAACTCCTGGCTGATATCTAACATTGTATTGAATATATAACTCCATGCCAGGTACAATTATGAGCACCTGATATAGATTATCTCACAAAATTCCAAAAACAACTCCACGAGGTAGGTATTATTTATAAGTACTCTGGGGAGGCAGTACTAGGGACTGCACCCATGGTCTTCACATTGATTTACATCCTCAGCCCTTTAAAATTTTTATTTGGAGCCAGAGTCTTGCTAAATTGCTAAACTGCCTAAGCTAGGCTTGAACTTGTGATCCTCCCGCCTGAGCGTTCCAGAGTACTGGGATTACTGGCATGTGCCACTGTGCCCAGGTATTGGAAGCACTTTGTGTAGCTTAGCTAGCTACCATCAATTAAATGAAGGCAGGGATAGTGCTTAAACTCATTTCCAGAACCTAACAATGTGTCTATGAAGTCAGAAGCCTTCCATGTGCATTTGCTAAGTAATGATTTCTGCTAGTACTTCCTTGTCCTCAGATTTTACTTTGAAAATGGCAATTCCAGTCAAAGAACCAGCCAGTAGTTTTCAAGTAATTATACAAATTTAATCTTAAAGTGACACAGTCCCTTGTAAATACATATGAAATTCAAAAGTTACCAGAAAAAAAAGTGATATAGTGATACACCCGGTGCCTTAGTAGCTTTTCTTGTTGCTGGTATAAAATACCCAACACCCACAAGTTAAGGGAGGAAAGGTTTATTTAGCTCACAGTTTGCAGAGGTTTCAGTCCATAATTGGCTGGCTCTAAGACAGAATGGCATGGCAGACACACATACAGGAGAAAAAGTTCTTGGCAAGCAAAGGGTAACAAAGCAACAAGGGACAATCACACATCTTTCTAACCCTTATAGCTTATCCAGGCTACTTAAGGCAGGGAGCACTCACAGCCTTAATTCTAGTGCCTTTGATCCTAGTACTGCACCATGAATCAATCCCAGTTTCACATACTCTAGATCCAGCCACCTCTGAAAAAGCCCCACCTATAACCACATGAGAGTTTACACCTGGCTATAGAAAAACTAACATACTTACAGATTAAAAAAAGAAAGTTGCCAGGTGTGGTGGTGCAAACCTGTAATCCCAGCACTCATGAGGCTGAAGCAACAGGATTGTGAGTTCAAGGCCAGCCTGAACTATACAGTGAAACCCTGTCTCATCCTTCACCCCCAAAATAGGGGTACTGAGGATGTAGCTCAGTGCAGAGCACTACTGAGTTCAATACCCAGTACTGCAATAAAAAAACTTAAAAGACGAAGAAATAGAAAAAATATACATTTAGCCTACATTAAATAAAGGATTAGTAATAATATATGAAGGGCTCCTAGCATTCTGTGAGGCTGAAGCAAGAGGATCACAAGTTCGAGGCCACTCTGGGTAATTTAGCAGGACCCTGTCTCAAAATAAAAAATAAAAAAGATTGGGGATGTAGCTCAGTGTGAAGACCCTGGATTCAATCTCCAGTACCACATATGAAAGCATACAAAGGGCTCCAACAAATAAATTAAAAATGATAATCATCCCATTATAAAAATAAGAATAATACATGAATAGGAAACTTCCTAAAAATAAATTAAGATGTTTAGTAAATATATGCAGCTATGTTCAACTTCATTAATTAAAAGTTAATTAAAAATGGAATTTAAAACAACAGAAGAAATTATTCATCCTATCATATTATAGAGATAAAAAATAATAATACTCAGCACTGGAGAGGTTATAGGAGAAATAAGCACTCTCATACACTCATACTACAAAAATGTTCCCATATGTTTAAAAGATAGATATACATCTATACACATACAAAGCTGATAACTGCAGTATTGTCTATAATAGCAAAAGATGAAAAAAATTAAAATGTGCATTCATAGAAGCTTGGTTAAATATAGTACAATTGATACTCATAGTCACTGAAGAGGATAATGTGATTAAATAACCAAATAACCAATGAAAAGAGTTTTCACTTTACAGATATACTCTATCTATTTAAAACTTTTCTTGAGACAAGGAAAACAGTTCAAACTTTTCTTTTAAGTTAAACATACTTATCACATAAGTCAGCCATCTTATTCCTGAATATGCTACCTATCAAGAGAAAGATATTTTTTTTATTTCTAAGGCATTAAGCTGGATAAAATAAGTCATTCTCAAAAGGGGACATGTAGTTCCATGTATATGATGTCCTTGAAAAGAAAAAAATTACAGAAAGGGAAAGATCCGTAGTGCTAGGGGTAATGGAAAAGGAAGACCTGAGTAAAAAGAGGTTGCAAAAAGGAATTTTTTAGGGAGTTGAACTGCTTCCTGTCAGTGATGGCGGTTAAAAGAATCTAGGCATGTGTTAGTACTCACAAGACTGTGTGCCTGAACATAAATTAATTTTATTGTGCAAAAATTGAAAGAATTTTTTTAAAAAAAGAAATGGTCGTCAGCAGTAATGATACCTTCTATTTCTCGGTCTAGAGGAGGAACATCATCTCTCATGGAGAAATCCATAGCTGTCTCTGGTATGTCCATCAAGTCTTCATCACTGGAGCTGCTCTGGAAGCTAGTAAAACTCCCCTGCTGAAAGCCTCTATTATCCATGGCTCCTGTGCAGAAGCAAAAACAAAATAACAATGACCTCTCAACTCCTCACCATTTTTTCTCTCCCTGCCTGATATGCCATGAAATTTACCATTTAATGATTTTAAAGTATGCAATTCAGTAGCATTGAGTACATATGCAATGCTGTTCAACCATCATCACTATCCATTTCGAGAACTCTTAAATCATCCCAAACAAAAACTATATACCCAGGAAACAATAAATCCCCATCACTCGGCCCTTGGTAACCGCTATTGTACTTTCTGTCTTTACAGATTTGCTGACACTAGATATTTCATTTAAATGGAATCATATGGTATGCAGCCTTTTGTGTATGATTTCTTTGATTTCACATAATGTTTCAAGGTCCATCCATATTGCACAATGTATCTGTATTTTATCCTTTTTTTCTAGTACTGGAGATGGAACCCAGGGCCTCACACATGTTGGCATGCTCTACCACTGAACTACACCTCCAGACATTTTTTATATTTTTATTTTGATACAAGATCTTACTAAGTTGTCCAGGCTGGCCTCAAACCTGCAATCTTTCTGCCTCAGCATCCCAGGGTGTGGTGAGATTACAGATTACAGACAAGTGCCGCAAAGGTTGGCTTTTTTTCTTTTTAAAACAGAGTTTTGCTACACAGTCCAGACTGAACTTGATCTCAATGTGTAGCCAAGGATGGCCTCAAACTCACAATACAATTGCCTCACCTTCCAGGGTGCTGGGATTATAGACCTGCACCATCATATCCACCTAAGTTTTCCAACATTTCTATGCCGAGGTATTATAACTCCTAGTGCAGATGAGAAAGTCAAAGCTTAGAAATGCTAAGTAATTTGCCCAGTTAATACTTTTTTCAAGTGAAACCCCAAATCATGTGCTCAATTTCATAATACCTTACTTGTGATACAGTAACCAGTCTGACTTAAGTGTGAGTGACATTTAGGAACTATTACTAAGTATGACTCATCGTGTGACAGTAAGACAGAAAAAAAAAATGATGCTGTGTAAGCCAATGAGATGAAGATCGGGAGGCAAAGACTTGAGAATTAACATCAAGGCAGTGGTTGAAACCAAGAGAACAGATACTCCAAGAGAACTATTTGTGTGCTTAAGGGTAAGTATGAATGCAAATAGAAGATAGGCACTCTCACTATCCTGTAGTATATACAGATAGCTTCTAATCTGTGCAAATGCGAACTAAAGTAATACGTTGCACCATTTTTTAATTATATATTGTAGGGAAGGGAAGAAGTCAAATTTACCCCAAGGTGCTAATTAATATATAAAATTGTTGATCATAACACCATTTTCATAGGTATAAATGCCAACCGTGCTGTGTGGATTAAGCGGGACTTGGGATATGTTTTTATGATTTTTTGCGAGCTTTGTCAAGTTCCTTTCCTGCCACCAATTGTTCATCCTTGCTGGACTTTTCCTCCATCTCTATCCTGCTACCTTCACTCCCCTTCTCTTGATGCCATCTCCTCACTAAGGAAATTTTTTAATTCCCTGTCTCAGCTTTTACTTACAGGGAATGGAAAAAACCTAGGACTAGCAGTTTTATTTTTCGGGGTTTTTTGCTGTTGTTGTTGTTGTTGTTGTTGTTCTTTGGTTGGTTGGTTGGTTGGTTGGTTGGTTTTTTGAGACAGTGTCTCACTATGTAGTTGAGACTGACCTGGAACTCACTATGTAGCCCAGGCTGGTCTCGAACTCACAGTGATCCTCCTGCCTCAGCCTCCCGAGTGCTGGGATTACATGCATGCGCCACCACGCCCAGCAGTTTTATTTTTCTTATTACTAACAACACATACGAAATCTTAGTTCTCTCTGTCATTACTCCTGTTATCCCCCCAAAAAAATTTTTAGTCTTTGTTTATTCTTTCATTCATATTGATGACATTGTTAACAGTGAATCTATAAGAATCATCACTTTGGACTTTAGGTCACATGCTAACTCATGTAAATTTATTTCCTTTTTTGTCTGTCTGTTTGTTTGTTTTTGGTACTAGGAATCAAATTCAGGGCCTCACATCCACAGCCAAGTTTATTTCCTTTTTAAAGGTGAAAATATTTAGTCTGTTTTACAAATAATTGTACCCTGTAGTGACTATTCCAACACCTGCGAAGGATAAAACCAGCAAACATTGGTTGGGTAGTATAATGTAACATTTGGATGTACTATGTAAGATAAACAGCGCTATTCAGAATCACATGACAAAACTGCCAACCTATGGGCTTATTTCACTACCAAAGCTTGTTTCTTGGGACACTATTGGATTTTTACAGAGTACACTATGCATTAAAAAATGCCATTTTTTATTTATAGGAATGACTCACTGTTAGCAGCCCAGAGGGCCATACACATACACATATAACACACAACAGCTACAACTGAGGCTAAGTACTTACATCATTTTTTCCTCTTATAAGATGTCCTATACTCAACCATCATTGACAAAGGAGCCAACACCTTCACTGGAAGAAAGACAACCTCCTTAATAAATGGTGCTGGATAAAATGGCTTTCTGCATGCCAAAGATTGAAACTAGGCCCATATGTTTCACCAGGCACCAACCTAAAATTGAAATGGATTAAATATCTAAATATTAAAACAACACTAAATCTGCTGGAAGAGAGAATAGGTAGAACTCTTGAAGATAGAAGTAAACAAAGGTTTCGTGAACAAAACCCAGACCACACAAGAAATACTACAAAGAATCAACAACTGGGACCTCATCTTATTAAAAAGCTTTTGCACAGCAAGAGAAACCACCAACAGAGTGAAGAGACAACCCATAATGTGGGAAAAATTTTTGCCAGATATTCAGATAAAGGACCATTATCTAGAATATATAAAGAACAAAAAAATCAGACCCCCCCCCTCAAATTTAAAGACCCAATGCAAAAATGGGCATCTGAAATTAAAAGGCACTTCTCAGATGAATAATTATGAAAAATGTTCAACATCACTGGTAATTTGTGAAATGCAAATTAAAACAATGCTAAGATTCCATCTCATTCCAGAAAGAATGGCTGCTATCCAAAAAAGCAGCCAGTAACAAATGCTGGAGGGGCTGTGGAGAAAAAGGAACCCTTCTCCACTGTCAGTGGCAGTGTAGACTGATGCAATCACTATGGAAATCAGTGTAGAGATTTCTCAAAAAACTAAAACTAGAGTTCCATTTGACCCAGCTATACCTCTTCTTGGTACCTTGCCGAAAGAATTAAAAGCATCATCCACAGGAATACATGCACACCCATGTTTATAGCAGCACAGTTTGTAAGAGCTAAATCTTGGAAACACACCTGCCGGGCAAGCATGAGGTCCTGAGCTCAATCCCCAGTACACCCCCCCAAAAAAAAATCTTGGAAACAGTCCAAATGCAAATCAACTGACAAGTGGATAAAGAACATGTGGTCGGGCTGGGGATTTAGCTCAGTGGTTCTGGCGCCTACCTCGCTAGCTCAAGGACCCAAGTTGGATTCCTAGTACCAAAAAAAAAAAAAAAAAAAAAAAAAAAATGTGTTTTTTTAATACAACGGAGTACTACTCTCCATAAAGAAAGATGAGCTTCAGACATTTATAGCTAAATGGATGGACCTTGAGACCACACTCCTAAGTGAAATAAGTCAGACACACACATTTACATGCCACATTGTTTCTCTGGGGTGAGAAACCAAAACTGAAAATAAGGACTGAGATGTATAATGGATGTTGGGAAATAGGAAGAAAGTGTTCAAATGGGAAACAGAACAAGGGAGGAGGGAGAGAGAAAGGAAGGAAGGGACAAGAAAAAAGTGAAAATAGAAGGAAAAATGAAAACAAAACTTTTGTGCATAGGGAAGGGAGGAGGCTTGAGGGGGGAAAGGGATAAAATAAACTTCATTAAAAAAAAAGATGCTGTCCTCCTTTCTGGAAATGTAGTCCTTAACCTTCAACTGGGTTGGGTTGGGCTGGGTTTGTGGTGCTGGGACTAGATCTAGGGTCTCAGGCCTGCAAGTCTACCACTGAGCTAGACCCTTCTTACTTCTGTCAGTATTTTCTACTCTTGGCTTTGAATTTGACATCAGTTTATTCTTTCAAACCATCAATATGTCCATACTGATTGCTAATTCTCTCCCACTCCCCTGATTTCTTAACTGATATTGGACAGGATTCAAAATTTAGGAAAAGACAAATTTTCTGAAAAGTGAAAGAGAAATATACCCATATGAAATAGCTACATGGAGCAGATCCTGTTTTTCTTCTATCTTTGCAATATACAATAATTACATTCATCTTGGGGAATATATATATATATATATATAATCTTACTTTTACACACCCTCCCCACTCCACTCTCCCTCCTTCCCTAAATCCCCTTCCCATCTCCACAGTCTATTTTCCTATTTCTTATCATGTCTTTTATTTTGCTTATTAAATTGTTTATACATTTGTGTCTCATATTAGAGAAACTATGCAACATTTAATCTTCTGTGTCGGACTCATTTTACTTAGTATTATAGTGTCAAGATATAGCTATATTTCTACAAATGATTCAAATTTATCTTTATGGCAGAGTAGTGCTCCATTGTGTATATATATTACACTTCATTTATCTACTCATCTGTTGATGGGCATCTAGGCCACTCCCAAGATTTAGCTATTATGAATTATGCTGCTATAAACATGAGTATTCATGTATCACTGTAATATGATATCTTTAACTCTTTTGGGAAGATACCCATAAGAGGTATAGCTGTGTCAAATGGAATTCCTCCTCCTCCTCCTTCTCCTCCTCCTCCTCCTCTTCCTCCTCCTCCCCTTCCCCCTCACCCCCCCCTTTTTTGAGACATGGTCTTGCTATGCAGTGCAGACTAGCCTTGAACTCATTATGTAGCCTAATCTGCCCTCGAACTCACAGCCATCCTCTTGCCTCAGCCTCCCAAGTGCTGAGATGATAGGTGTGTGCCACTATGCCCATCTGTCAAATGGAATTTCTGATTTTAGTTTTT